CATTAAGGTAAATATAATCTCTTCCCACAACCAAACCATCGCCAGAGAAATCCTAGTAAACAACACAGAAATCATCGATAGATACAGCGATAGCAGACGGCTTGACGTTTGCGAGGCACTACACATCAAGAAGTCAACACCAGCAATCAACAGCCAATTAATGCACAACTATATTCTACCCACCTCAAGACTCCGCTCCAATATAGAAGCATCAAGAAATATGGACCAATAGGCTTTCTACAAACACTTCTATTCAATACCCATTGTTTCTGTTCTGTCTTGTGTTGATACTTTTAATACCCTATTAATATCCCCTAGTGTTCTGTCTTGTGTTAATGCCACATCACCCTTCCCACCTCACTGAAATGTAATGCCACATCACCCTTCCCACCTCACTCAAATGTAGATATAAAATCAGGGAAACGCTAGTTCTAATCAGTTGTGTATTTGTGAAGTCTTTGAAAATGTAATAAGTTTTACGAAACGCGCCCGTGTCGCGTCAGACTAGAAATAAAAATGAATTTTGGAGAAGTGATTTTTGATTTACCTCCAACAGTGAAGCGTAATGTACGAAAGATTGAGAAAATTCGTGTTAGAATTATTAATCTTACTTTTTCGGTCATATTTAATAATATATATATATATATATATATATATATATATATATATATATATATATATATATATATATATATATATATATATATATATATATATATATATATATATATATATATATATATATATATATATATATATATATATATATATATACATGACCCAGCAGTCCGCAATACAGAGTTTACCTATAGGTATAGGCAAGAGCTCATTCGGCATCAACTAAACAAGAAGAAGGAAGCCCTCCAAACCTTTATAGAGCAGGCGGAGCATCTGTTAAACAAAAAGACCCAATACGACATCCCTATCCAACTCAAGCAAACCATCAACAGTGAACTATTTAACCTGAAACAACAACATAAAACTCTTGTTGAAACAAAGACACTCCGTAAGTTAACATCCCTAAACGGTGGACAGCTAAAAATCCCTCGTCCTAAAGATGGCTACTTTAACCTGACTTCTTATGATCTTACCCAGGACCAACGAGACCTCTTAAATCTTGGTCTAAATTGTCAATTCTTATCTAAACCAAAGATGCATCAAAAACGCCTGGAAATCGAAATGCTTCTGGACGATATCCATAAGCTAGAAGACAACAAAAAAGTCATCACCACTGACACACTTCAAGCTGAACTACTTGCAGAAGCAGGGAAAAAACGAGGAGCATATTCATCTACAATCTTAACCCCACGACTCAAAGAAGCAGCGAAACAACTAAAAAATCTGAAAGACGTAACAATAAGAAAAGCCGACAAAACAGCAGCATATGTATTGATTCCTACCCATGAATACATGAACAAAATTAGCGACATCCTAAGTGACGACTCCAAATTTCAACGAATCACGAGGAATCCCGTAGAAGACCTTAAGCGGAAAGTAAACAAAACAATTACAGCAATCAACGCAAAGAAAGGTAGTGTGCATTTCAATAAACTTCAAGGCGACTATGGCTTAGGATATGCCTACGGCAATGTTAAGACGCATAAACCAGGTAACCCACTACGCCCTATAATCAGCCAAATACCAACCCCAACTTATCACCTGGCAAAGAAACTCAATGAACTCCTAACTCCATACACTCCAAGTAAGTTTAGTCTACAATCATCAGCAGATTTCCTAGAATTGATCAAATCTACCCAGCCCGATGGAATCATCGCTTCCCTGGACGTTGAATCCCTTTTTACCAACGTCCCAGTCGACACAACCACAGGAATGATACTGGACAGAGTATACAGAGACGAGAGCACCCCCAAATTAGACATACCTGAGCCACACTTGAAAAGTCTTCTCGAAGCATGTACAAAGGAATGGCAGAAGCCCCTTTCATCAGTCCACAAGGAGACATGTATTTACAAATAGACGGAGTAGCAATGGGCTCCCCCTTAGGAGTTTTATTTGCTAATTTTTATATGGGAACCATCGAAGATAGGGTCTTCAGTAGCAGACAAAAACCAACTGTATACTGCCGTTATGTAGATGACATATTCGTAATAGTAAAAGACTCAGATGAACTAATTGACCTAAAAAGACATCTAGAGAGAGAGTCAGTACTCCGATTTACACATGAAAATAGTGAAAATAACAGTCTGCCATTCTTGGATGTACTAATAACAAAAACAGGAACCTCGTTAAGCACCAACGTATATACCAAGCCCACCAACATAGGATTATGCCTGAACGGTAGAAGTGAGTGCCCCCAAAGATACAAAGCCAGTGTTCTCAATGCTTATATTCGTCGAGCGCTTACCCACTGCTCTGAATGGAGCAACGTGAGTAGAGAGTTTGAAAGAGTAACTCAGGTATTGGTGAACAACGGATATAGCAACGCGGAAATAAACGCTGCTATAAGAAGACACTTGGACCGTTGGTATAATTCAGAACCTAGAACAGAAACCACAACACCCCCAATAAAATTATATTACAAATCAACCATGCACAGTGAACATATAAAAGAGGAAAGAATAATGAAAGAAATAATCCGTAAAGGAGTAAAAAGCACTACTCCTAACCAAAACATAAACCTGATAATATTCTACAAAACCAAGAAGACTTCCGAACTCCTTATCAAAAACAGCCCGAAGCTGACGGAGAACCCTCTACAGCAGTCAAGCGTTGTATACATTTATATGCAAGCGTTATGTACACTTGCCCCCACGAAGGATGTAACCTTCAATGTAAGTACATAGGTATGACGTCGACCAAGCTGACGAGGCGTTTGACATGCCATCTTCAATCTGGTGCCCCTAGGAATCACATGAGACAAGCCCATGACATTACTCTAACAAGAGAAATGTTGAACAAGAATACTTGCATAATAGACAAAACCCAAGATTCAAGAAGATTACAAATTCTTGAGGCAATTCACATAAGAATAGAGCGACCTACCGAACGAACACCCAAATCACGGAACTATTTACTCTACCCACCATGAGAGTAAGGACAAGACAAGAACATATCGATGCCAACACAGAAGACAATGTCCAACATAACAGGCCAATTACACTGGATTAATCTTTGTGTTTAGATAGGAGATGCCTCGTATGGGCCAATAAGCCTTCTGCAGCCCCTATGTTTATCCCTTATGTATCCCCCCATGTTTTCACCTTCATTGTATTATCACCTGACCTAATGCGGGTATAAAATCAACTAGTATTGTAAGATCTGTTCACTCAACCTGCAGCCGTCACGGCCGGACGTGTCTCTGGTTGCTCCTCACCTGCGAGCTGCCTAGCCAACCAGATAGTGAGGGGGTGTACATCCTTCGACCTGCCCAGGAGGGTGGGTCAGCTGTATTGCCTCGGCTCGGCCCTCGCCGGTACTAGCCACACAGTACCATGGCCTTCAAAGTTAAGGCACGGTTCCTAGAGAACCACGCTTTCGGACGAGAAGAAATTCTCAACGTTCTCAAAGCCACCACCAACACAGTACCAGACGACATCCAGCAGGACGACGAAGGTATCGTCCTCTCTTACTCCACCGGAGACGACCTTGAACACCTGTTCACACCTGCTGCTACATCTGCACTCTATGATGCGGATATTACCCTCATCCAACCACGACGCTTTCAAGCTGAACGAACCATCTTTGGTTTGGTTCTTACAGGAGAGTAAGCTCATGGATCACCGAGCACGAGGTGGACGTTATCCTGAACAGTATCAACAGGGAAAACGAAAACATGACAGCTGTCTCAGCAAAAATCATCGCCAACAACAACGACACTCGCTCCACCTTGAAAGTGACCTTCACTACAGCTGCCGCAGCGGACCAGGCCACCACCACAGGATTTAGGTGCTTAGGCATCAATACTCCACCAGCTTCAGTGCACAAGGAACGTTTTTACGAGGTAAGCCAGTGCTACAAGTGCTACCAGTACTCACACGTGACCAGGAAGTGCCCCCAAAGTGTAAACAAGTGTAGTGTCTGTGCTAAGGACCACCATTATAAACAGTGTCGCGCCGATATCACGTGTTGTGTAGTGTGCGGTGGTGACCATATTGCTATTTCTCATTTGTGTCCTGTGCGACAGGAAGAAATTAAGAAGCTCTTGACAGCTGGACGGGCTTCCGCAACTGCTCGTGCTCAGTCACCATTCAACATGCAAGCCGCCATTTTCCCGGAGCTCCCGGGAAGGAGTAGCCGCCCACCAACGTACCAACCAATGGGGACCCGGCATGCAGTCCCGCAGCCAACCAGCTGCCCAATCACAGACCCAGCCTCCACCTCCACCACCAGGCTCCTCCCATTCGTCGACTCAGACTTCGCCACGGCAGTTGCCGGTTACTGTCACCGACCTTAGCACTGCACATGCTCTCACGAAACTAGTGAGCGACATTACTGGTTCCAACTACCGAGAATTTGTGAGGATTCTAAATATCGTCTACAAGGCTAACGGACTCCAGACCATCATCGTACCTGACGAAGTCTTCCCCACCTCTGCCTCAACTTCCACTTCAGTAACTGAGCCGGAAATCACTGTAAACGCTGCCGCACTTGTTGACCTGCTGTCTGCCACTGTTCCACCCACCACTCCAGTTGCAGCTGACCCTACACCAGACCCAGTAGAGGCTGTTAGTCTCTCCACACAAGACAACGACCCTCCTGCTCCTGTTTATGCGTCTTACAATTGCCCTAGAGACCTGAAATTTAATATTTCTCAGAAACGTGTCACAGCTCGGGAGTGGAACATCGACTACGAAAACGGACTGAACGATGACGGAACCCGCAGAGAGTTTTGGTACGTTGAGGCTGACACAGTTCAGTTGCAGTTCGTTACTGCACTGATGTTACCATGCTCCACCCTGCCATTATTGACCCTCAATACTACGTGAAATATCCGAAACACGCCGCTATGATAAAGAAAGAAATTCAAGAACGAACGGGCAATGAACCTTCAACCCAGCAGAGTCAACCAACACAAACCTTCAGGGACCACTGTGCTAGTCCCCGACCCTTCAAACCCATTGTCGGATGATGCTCCAGCTCCTGGTCCAGCCTCGGACATTGCTGTGAACGATACTGAACCTACTGCAGCGGCAACATCTGCTCCTGGCATGGTAGCAACCCAGAAGCCGACGACTTCTCATCCACCATCTCCTGTTACATCTCCACCCACAGTACATACATCCACTGAACCTTCTACATCTGCAGTAAGTCCTACCGCTGCTACTAAACCATCAGGAACACTACTTCCAAGACCCACATCTCCTGGTATGTACTCATCTGACTCATCAGATGAGGATGTCTCTGTGGGAACGACATCTCCACCTTCACAGAAATACAACTATTCATCTGTCGATTTTCTTTGTGACGCTATTGATCCCACAGCAATGTCAACACGAAGTCGGACCGCCAAGAAAGACAAGCCGAAAACAAAGACCAAAGAGCAGACCTTGCTCCCACCATCAAGAAAGAAGTAAACCAATGAAGTAATCAACCTTCAATTACCATCAACTGCCAGCTGCTTGCGTTCCTGGCCTCTGCGTGGACTGCAAATGACGCCCTACTCAATTCTACTTCCATCTTCTAATCCGCGGTGGTTGGGCCACCGATCTTTCATCTCCTCTTCACCTCATCTCCAGATCCTTGCTCAAGATTTCTGCAACCTCGCCCCGTTCTTCCATCCCCTGCTTGCCAGCTCTATGGACTTTTCGCTTCATCTGTTCACTTGAGAATGAACCATGGAGGATCGAAACGTCGTGCAAATTATACAAATAAGTGTAATACACTCTATAGTAAATCACTTCTTTTCTTCACCTTAAAAGTACGAAAATGAGTTTTGGAGAACTCCTATTTCAATTAAGCCCTGATGCTAAGAAAATAGTTAGAGGGATAGAAGCCCTAAACCAGAAAATAATAAATACAGAATATGCGGTCATATTCAATGAAACATGTTTGAAAGAAAACCTGCTGCCAGTATACACCAATATATATATATGTATATATATACCTACCTGTTTTATTAGAGGCTGAAGTTCGGAGCACTGCTGAGGTCTTTGGTCTCCCTTGAGGACACGGGATACACTCTACACTGGTAATGGTCACTCTTGAGCACACGGAATGCACTCTCAATGGTGCTGCGATGTCTCACAGAGCACTGCTAAAGTCCTTGGTCTCCCTTGAGGACACGGGATACAATATCTCTAAGGTGCTGGTGGTAATGGTACCGCCGTACCACAACCTCGCGTCTATGTGTGTTGGACTAAACTGACTCTTCCCCACATGAACAAGGTTCCCAGCTAATACCACATCCAAATAATACCTGACCTACTAATGAGGAAACGTTTGATTGGGCAGCCCTAAACTCACCTTATCCCAAGAGGTTCCAACCTGGATATAGAGTTCTTACTTTTTTTGTACATAATGTTATAACCAAAGACTCACACCCACATTACTGACTTTAATAGTATATTTGCCCTCCTTATCTTAGCACTCGGAAGCAATGATCCTTCGAACGTTTCCTTTACAAAAATGTTAATTAAAACATTTATTCTATCTGATAAAATAGATTGTAACTTAATATGGAGAAAATTTAAATTTTGGCTTGTTGTCTCAAGTATGATTCATTGCACAGTGTTGCAGTGAATATGAGTAGTATCCTCACTGTTATAAGCATTAATTACTTTAATTATATGGATTTGGTTAAAGTGTATATTATTTTTGTCCATGAAGTAAATAATAATTAATGATCGGTGGCCGCAAGCCTCTCTGCCAGCTCCGATCTTCTCTTCCCGTAAGTGACCAAACTCAAAAGTTACTCAAGTCATCGTAGCTTCATTACTGAGTAGACCTATTAGCAAAATGGGTCAAATATATTGAGATAATATAATGCACCCAAGAAGGATAAAGTAACTTTGGCAATTTCTACCCTAAGTTTCAGGCACCTGAACAAATCCATAATCCATATAGTATATTATATATATATATATATATATATATATATATATATATATATATATATATATATATGCATATATATATATATATATATGCATATATATATATATATATGCATATATATATATATATATATATATGCATATATATATATATATATATATATATATGCATATATATATATATATATATATATATATATATATATATATATATATATATATATATATATATATATATATATATATATATATATATAAATATATATATTGTTGTGTCCATTCGTTCACTTGTAAACCTCTATCATGGGAGGTGGGGAAGTCTACACGACTCAGTTTACATGAGATTATGATTAGGATATAAACTTTAAATATTACAAATATTATTATCATAAATATGATAATATATATATAATATATATATATATATATATATTATCTATAATATATATATATATTATAGATAATATATATATATATTATATAATATATATTAATAATAATATATATATATATATTATCTATATATATATAGATAATATATTATCTATAATATATTATCTATATATATATAGATAATATATATATATATATATATATTATCTGTAATATTTAAAGTTTATATCCTAATCATAATCTCATGTAAACTGAGTCGTGTAGACTTCCCCACCTCCCATAATAGAGGTTTACAAGTGAACGAATGGACACAACAAAAGGGATATTAATAGGGTATTAAAGGTATCAACACAAGACAGAACACGAAACAATGGGTATAAATGTTGACCAGACCACACACTAGAAATTGAAGGGACGACGACGTTTCGGTCCGTCCTGGACCATTCTCAGCTCTCTCTTGCCTATTTAATGCCTGTCCCTACCTGTCCTCATCACAATCGACTTGAGAATGGTCCAGGACGGACCGAAACGTCGTCGTCCCTTCAATTTCTAGTGTGTGGTCTGGTCAACATACTTCAGCCACGTTATTGTGACTCATCGCCTGCAATGGGTATAAATTGCGTAAGTTTAGATTTAGGAAAGACGGGTAAATCCTGGTTCAGTAACAGGGTTGTTGATTTGTGGAACCAATTCCTGTGTAACGTGGTGGAGGTGGGGTCCCTCGATTGTTTCAAGCGTGGGTTGGACATGAATATGAGTGGGATTGGGAGATTATAAATAGGAGTTGCCTCGTATGGGCCAATAGGCCTTCTGCAGTTGCCTTTGTTCTTATGTTCCCATAATGTGAACTACGGTCCGCAATTAATATTCTCTTGACCTTTTCTATATCCTCTTCGATCAGCGTAATTCTTGTCTTAATTTGTTAAAAGTTATTTGATATCTATAACATGGAAAAGAGCTTTTCTCTGTTACCCTCTTTGCAGTCTCATATATTGCCTAATATAACAATTTTGCCACATGTGAAAGGAGACACAAAAATCTTACGTTATACCTTTTGTTGTTAGTTTCTAAATGTTGTCTCTAGACTCGTACATAATGTGCTGACATACTGATTTTCTGTTATTTAATGACTGCAACAATCTTCTACTATCAATAAAAAACTTGCATCTCTACCACTATTTACTACTTATGTTTAGCCCGCTAATACAACTTAAAGTTGTCAGTGTATTCCCTACTCAAGATACCAACTATCTTGCTTTTCCGTCCTCACCAATAGATCCATCTCAATAAAAATGCATAGTCTTTAATTGAGGTATTTTATAATTATACATTTAAAAAATACTGCATTATCTCATACATGTTCTTTTTATTTTGCAATGGAGCACACACTATACCTGCGCTGCATTCCTTCCATGGTGTTGTTTCTCAGGTAATGCAACACATTATTGCAAGAAATCATATTTTGTAACATTAAAGCATAGGCTCTCATGTATCATCTCTTATTATATTTTAAAATATATTGTTAATTTCTTCCCGCCTTTTAAACTGTGAGGATTATTTCATTACCTTCCCTCGCCTCTCATCAATCTAATCGTGGAAGCTACATTTATCTCAGAAATTCCATCCCCAATACTCTGTAAATTGAACTCCATCCTCGTCAATCAATTAAGTTTGTGGACATCGTATTATTTACTCTCATAGATTTATAAACACAAAAAAATGTTGACCAAACCACAACTCAGAAGACTGAGAAGTATGTGTTTGTGGGAGAAAGGAATTGGCAAAACGATCAGGGAAAGAGAAGGTCCGCAAAATAACAATTCACTTAGGGTATATTACACTAACAGTAGAAGTCTAAGAAATAAAATTAACGAATTAAATGCTCTTGTCTGCACAGAAAAAATAGATATTATTGCACTTACCGAAACGTGGATGAATGTAGAAAATAGAGAACTATTAGCTGAATATCAAATATATGGATTTAAACTATTTCACACAGATAGATATATTAGACGAGGAGGTGGAGTAGCCATATATGTTAGGGACAATTTGAAATGTAGTCTCAAAGAGGGAATCAAAACTGAGCCACACACAGAAACTATTTGGATTGAATTAAACGAAAAAGCTAATAATATTATAATAGGAGTAATATATAGGCCACCAAATTTAGACAGAATGGAAGCAAAGCATCTATGGGATGAAATATCTAGAGCATCTAGATCTAACAGTATTTATGTCATGGGTGACTTTAATTTTAGCGGAATAAACTGGTTGAACAAAACAGGGAATAGTGAAGCAGAAGATTTTCTAGAATTAATTGACGATTGCTTTCTTACGCAACACATTAAGGAACCAACACGGGAAAATAATATTTTAGATTTAGTGTTAACTAACAGGGAAACGCAAATTAATGACATCGAAATAGGGAGTGAGCTAGGGAGCAGTGATCACAAAGAAATCAGATTTAGCATAGAATGGAATAGACCAGTAGGAGAAAATTCTGTTAAAGTGCCAGATTTTCGAAAAGCTGATTTTAATAGCCTAAGAAATTTTTTGGGTCAAATTGATTGGAAAGGCTTGGGTATGGGGTGTGGGCCGGTCTTGGAGCGAGACATGAACCCAGCGATAGGTGACTTAAATGGGGATTTCGATGTGGATTCAATATATAACTTATTTAAGAATATTCTAAACAAAGCACAGGAACGTAGTATACCATACAAATTGAATAGATCGTATACTAATGACCCAAAGTGGATAACAAAGAATTTGAAGAACCTTATAGGTAAAAAGAGAGCTTGGTACAAAAGGATTAAAAATGGGGAGGTCACTTTAGAACAGGAATTCGTACAACTGGTTAGAAATGTTAAAAAAGAGATAAGGAAAGCAAAAAGAAACTATGAAGTTCGCATAGCAGGGCAAGCAAAGACAAATCCTAAAGGGTTTTTTCAGTTATATCGTACTAAGACTAGGGAAAGGATAGGTCCATTAAAAACTGAGACAGGTCAAATAACAGATAGTGATGAAGAGATGAGTAGTATTTTTAATAAATATTTTGTATCTGTATTTACTAAAGAGGAACTTAACAATATGCCTTCAGCCGAACAAGTCTATGTGGGTGGGGACGAGGA